GGCGGGGGGCGGTGATGGTTTCTTGCTGAATCATTTTGACCAGAAGCTCCCCACCTGTGTACTTATGGGCTACAAAGTCAACCGCTTCCTTTATAAAAGTTTCCAAACAGCGATTATTTGCAAGGGGAGGAGGCAGAAATGAGAGCTGTAACAAAAGCTTTGCGATTTTCTACCCTCGAAATATACATGGAAGAGACATTGCATTAAAAAAATTAGCAGGGAGGCGCCTGTGTGGCTCAATCGGATAAGAGTCTGCCTTCCTGCTGTGATGAGCATTGGGTGTTACACTTAACTAATGAATCATTGAACACTACATAAAAAAACTAATTATGTACTATACAGTGGCTAATTGAACAACAACAACAAAAAAGAGTCTGCCTTCGCCTGGTGTCATGATCCCCCATCCTGGGATGAGCTTGCATAGGGCTCCCTGCTCGGCCGGAAGTCTGCTTCTCCCTCTCCCTCTGCCCCTCCCCCCCCTTTTGTGCTCTCTGTCTCGCTCACTCTCTCTCAAATAAGTAAGTAAATAAATAAATAAGTAAATAAGTAAATAAAATCTTAAAAAAAAATCAGCAGGGATTTTCGAAAGCAGAATCATCTGGGTTTCCTTCTCCAAAGGACACGCTTCTCAGGCCCATGATTCCAGCGTTCTGAGTGGCCCCCTGAAGGAGACTGTCCTCTGTTTGTGTGAGTGGGCATCTCCCCTTAGGAAGTGGGCAGGAAAATCGGGTGCACACTGCAATTTCAGAGAATGGACATCGCCAGGAAACATGCCCCCTCTGGGTGATTTCTGCACCTGGAAATTGGCAGACAGCAGTGTTTGCTGGCTAAGTGATCACTTCCCAGCTTTGGCTCCACACTGGCAAAGGTGAAGAAAGAACAGAGATGTTCCAGAACAGACAGTGACCCAGAGGTTTGCTTCCCTCTACATGCGCAGGCAAGCAGTTAGAGTGGGGTCTCTGGAGCTCATGGCTTGAATTTGTTTGAATTTGGCTCTACCTTTTAACACCTGGTGACCTTGGGTGAGGGACGACCTCTCTGTGCCTCAGTTTCCCCCTGATGGTTGTGGTGAGGGTTTGGGGACTTCCTCAGTGTAAATGCTCAAGCACATTGTATGGTCTTAGCTGCAGGGGCACCCCCCGCAGACTTCAGGACTACCCTGGCAGGAGGAAGGAGACGCCTGAGCCTTACCCAGATGGGTCCTGCTGGGGCATAGCGGCTTTCGGGTAGGGAGATCTGGGTTTGTGTGACTTGGACAAGCCATGTAAACTCTTGGGACCTCCCAGGTTCCTGGCTACTCAGAGATTTGTCATGAGAACTGAAATTAGCAAAGCACATTTGGTACAGTGCATAGCTGGTAGCATTCAGTAAGTAGGGGCTGCTGTACGCGCCCCCACGTTCTGCTGGGCCTGCTGTGTTGGTCCCGGACACTCACCCTCTGATTGTCAGTGGCCACGCCACAAGGGCCCCAGGGTGGCATCTCCTCGCCAGGCTCTGTGCCCTGACCACACGTGCCTGTTCAGTGTTCACCCCCAGCAGGGGACCGGGCTAGAGGAGAGGCGGGTGTCATGGCATCGGTGTCTTTGCTCAGCTCAAGTGCCAGGTTACCACAACTGCTTATTGGTAGTGTTGTGGGTTATTCTCCCTTTCAGAAGCACGGGGGGAAGCTCAGAGCGGTTGGAAGACTTGCTCCGTTTACTGCATCTTCTCTAGGCCTCGGCCCTGTTGTCTGTGAATGTGGGTGATGGTCACCAGCCTGGTGCCTCAGGCAAAGCACAAGGGGGCCCTGTTAAATCACAAAGTGCCACAGCAGGAAGGAGCTGTTTTACAGCAGCATCGTTTCAGGGTTGTCTGGGGGAAAATTGTGCCTGTGTATTTGTGCATGTGTGTAAATGTGTATGTCTGCGTTTATTCACTGTGTGTATGTGTGTGCATCCACAAGCCTGCCTTTGTTTCAGTTTTTGCATATGTTGGAGTAGGAATGCACATAAGTGTGTTGTTCTGATTGTGCACAAAAGGAGAGTATGCATGTGCTTATGTGCATTTGTGTATAAGTCTGTTTGAGTGTGTGCTTGTGTGTATATGTTGTGATGGTTAATTTTATGTGTCGACTGGGTCACAGATATTGGCCCAGATATTTAGTTAAACATTATTTCTGCGTGTGCCTGTGAGGGTGTTTCTGGATGTGATTAGCTTTTGAACTGGTAGACTGAGTAAAGCAGATTGCCCTCCACAATGTGGTGGGTCTTGTCTAAACAGTTGAAGGCTTGAGTAGGAAGGAAGGCTGAGGAAGAAAGAATTTTCTGTTTGTGTGACTGTCTTCAAGCTGGGGCATTAGTCTTCTTCTCCTGCCTTAGGACTCAGATTTTGACTGGAACTTATACCACCAGCTTTTCTGGGTCTGCATTTTCCAGCCTCCATAATCATATGGGCCAATTCCTTATAATAAATCTCTTTACACACATGGACATGACCCCCAGCCCCACACACACCCTATTGGTTCTCTTTCTCTGGAGAACCCTGACTGATCCATTTGTGTACCTGTCTGTGCCTACAGGTGTCTGTTTGTGTGTGTAAGTGTATATCATTCGTATGCCTGTGTCTCTGTGCTTATGTGTCTGTATGTTCATATGTGTGTGTCCGTGAGTGTTTCTGTGAGTCTGGATGAGAGGCTTTTGTACAGATGTGTCTCTGTGCTCACATGCTTGTGTGTGGCCGTTTGTGTGTTACCTGCACTATTTCTGTCCCATCCAAGGCCTGCCAGAGCTGATGCAGGGGTGATTCATCATTCATCCATCCTTCTGCTCCTTGCTGCTGGAAGTGCGGTCCCTGGAACTGGAGTCCCTGGGAACCTGAGGGAATGCTCAGGCCCCACCCCAGACCTTCTGAATCAGATTCCCTGTGAGTGGGGCCCAGGAATCTGTTTTTACAAGCTCTCAAGGAGAATTTTTGGCCCCTAAAGTCTGGGAAGCACTGATTGAACCCATTTTGTCCCCTCTCCTGTCTTCTTGTCTCAGTGGCACACATGACGTCCTCTGGCCTCCATATGACATCCACTGCTGGCCTTGGCCACGCATCATCCTGCCATGTGAAGAACACAGCTTTGCCCACCAACTGCTCATAAGCAGAGCTCCTACATGAGTTCCCTGGGGTGAATGGATGTGGGAGCGACATGGGGCCGGCCAGGGAAGCCTGACTTGGTGAAAGCCAGGCCGTGTGCTCTTCCTCCCAAGCAGATGTGGCCACGGCCCCAGATCCATCCCTCTGCTGGGCATGAAGCAGAAGTGGAATCTAGTTTTGCTAGAACCTCTGAGCCAGGACTTCTCAGGCCCAGCCTGCACAGCTGGGGAGCCTCGGATCTTTGGCTGGGTGGGCAGGAAGTGTGTGTCTGTCTAATGTGAGGAAGTACAGACATTGGTGGAGGACCTAGGTTTGGGTCCCTCTCTCCCAGGATCTCTTGGGAGCTCTTCCTTGCCTCCCATTGGGATAAAAAGAGGGAGGGGGAGCTTAGGTGGCATGGCCCCTGGGTGGCCGGGTTTCCCCGACTCTCTGACGTCCGTCCTTCCTGCCATGTGGGACACAGCTGGCAGCCTCACGGCCAATTCAAACACATTGAATTTACTGCAGAGGGTACATCTCGGCACAGACAGTGTGAACCCTGCTCTCAGGGTGCGTGGCTTGTTACCTCCACTGTGGCTCCCTTTGCAGTTTGCAAGCAAAATCCTATGACATGCCTCTAGTTATTGGGTTAGTTATCTAAAACAAACAACGACAGGGACGCCTGGGTGGCTCAGTCGTTAGGAGTCTGCCTTCAGCTCAGGTCATGATCCCAGGGTCCTGGGATCGAGCCCCGCATCGGGTTCCCTGCTTAGCACCCTCTCCCACTCCCCCTGCTTGTGTTCGCGATCTCTCTGTCAAATAAATAAATAATATCTTAAAAACAAACAAACAACGACAAACTTTGCAGCTTGAAACACACATTAACTGTCTCACGATAATTGCGGGTCAGGATTGGGCACAGCTTAGCTGAGTTCTCTGCTTCAGGGCATCCCCAGGCTACAGTGCAGGTGCCAACTGGGGCTGAGTCCCATTTGAGGGCTCAACTGGGGAAGGATCCCCTTGTAAGCTCATGTGCTTGTTGGCCATCCTCAGTTCCTAGCTATGTGGGCTTCCCAGCCTGGCTGCTGGCCTCCTTAAGGGAGGGAGAATGTCCTAAAAAAATGACTTCAGGCTCTCTGAGCCTTGAGAATCTCATGTGCACAAAAGGCACAAGCTGGGCTCTTTGTGGTTTGTGAGGGTCCAACCTCAGCAGGTGTGAAGGGAGCCCCCGAGACCTGTGTCTCACCTACAGACCAGCGGCAATGCAACACGCACCTCGTAGAATCTGTGGGAGGATAAGGAGACAATGGCTCCTGGCACTTACAAGGTCGTAAAAGCCACATCCCTTGAAAAACATGGCAAAGGTTTGTTTGCCCATAGCTGCCAGACCGGAAGCCGAGTGGCCTTCTCCCTACACTCTGGGAGGTCAGCTGATCCAGAGCTATGGAGAGCAGGGGTGCCAGGCAGAGGCAGGAAAGGTCTGAGAGTGCCTGGGGTTGGTGTGTTGAGTGGATGGAAATAATCAGAAGAGCTTCTGTTTGTTGATCACTTCCTGCATGCACATTAGCAAATTGGCTCTGTGAATTGCCATCATAAGATGGGTATTGTCTTTAAGATGGGTATCAGTGTCCCCACTTTACAGATGAGAAGACTGAGGTTCAGAGAGGGAAAGTCACTTCCCTAGGGTCACACAGCATGCTTATTCCAGTGCTGGGCTTGGCACCAGCTCTGAGGCTCAACCTGAGGTCTGGACTATGAAAATCAATAA